GAGTCCCCACCCCTGGGGGTATTTAAAAGCCGGGCAGAGGAGGTGCTTAGGACCAGGGTTTAGTGGTGGGATGGCAGGGTTAGGGGAACAGTTGGGCTTGATGATCTTAAAGGGCTTTTCCAACCAAATGATTCTGTGATTCTATACATTGGGTATGGTGCCTCGGCTGGAATCTACCTTGGTAGAGTAGTTATAACCCAGAGCAGGAGTAGTAGCATTAGTAGTAGTACCCGATAGCAGGAGCAGTACCCAATTGTGCTCAGTGAGCTTCTTCCTCAGAAAGCTGTCGTGGCTGGGAACAGCACTGGAAGTATTCTGGCTGTCAGCAAAGATGGCTTTGTGGGGTAAGAAGGAAGATGTCTGGCTCTCAGTGCAGCCCTGGAAGAGTGACCGTTGTGCAGAGAGGGTGAAGTTTCGCTGCACACTGGCAGTCTCCTGATCCTTTCTGAAGTCTCTATAAACCTCCTCATCTCCAAGACTTGGCACTGCTTGCTGGGCGTTAACTCTGTTAAAAGAGTCAAGGAATAGATTAGTACAAAGACCAGCTGGAACGAATTCATACTTCTCAGAATGACTTGTTCCACGATTTCTGGAGGTCATTCTTCCTTAGGGAAAACAGTCCCCAAACAAAACAAGCAAAACCCTATTCTCTTGGGGTCTCCTTTTATCAGATTTCCGTTCTCCCCGTGCTGCTTAGGGATGTGGCCATACGCAGCACATGCTACTCGTGTCCCCACTGTTGACAATGAGATCCTCACAGTCTTCCCTACATTACAGAAACTACAGCTAGCCATGCCTGCATGAGTCTGTGAGATGGTGTCCCTAGCGTTTAGGTTTATTCTTTTCTAACAAGTTGTCTTATTTATTGAGCACTTTCCTTCCAAATTAAGGCCATAATAATTTTCTTCCTCCGAATGGAGGTACTGAAAGTGCTTGGTGTTTAAGGATTAGTCTTCAGTTCATCGACTGCATGGCTCATTACACTTCAAAAAGGAGGTTGGTTTCTTCTCTTTGGGACGCCCAGCAATGTGGGACTGATTACTGAGGACACGTTATGAATTTTCTCTGCTAATAGTTGACTGTGTTTTCTTGCAGCAGATACACAGACAGTCAGTAGCGATAATTAGATTCTCTTTGTTGTCAGAAAGGGTACAGGGTGGACTGAGACCCTCAGCACTGTTGTATGACTGCAGGAGGAGACTGCGTAAGATTGTAAATGAAATATAGTTCAATGGGACCCACCAGTGCTTTTATCACTTGAATGTTCTTGCAGTCATGTTTTGCTTCTCCTCCTGCTCAAGACTTTAAGCGGAGCCCTGGCTGAAGCAGTGAGTCCTTTTCATCTTGGTACATACACCTGGGCTCTTTCTTGCTTCTTCAGCCTAGACTTTTTTAAATCCCTTAGATCTAGCTTAGCATTGGTGCGCTCTGATTAAGAAACAAATACTTCTTGGTAGGAGAACTAAAGGTCCAGTGCCCAGCTGTTTAACACCTTTTATATTTGGCATTTTTCTCTTATAGATCACCATAGCTTCTACTTTCATTCTGCCAAGCAGAATAAAGGGCGGAAAGTGATTCTTCATTTAGTGTTGAAACCCCACGTGCTGATGGGCTGCAGTAGTACCCCCAAGTGAGCAATCAGACTGTACCAATGCATACTAGCTTAAAATACTTATTTCTTTTAAAAATAAAATTACCGAGAAGTAAAATAAAAGCTTACTTAGTGTGTATGCTCTGGTGTGTTTGAACACGGTGTGGAAGAGGTAGAAGCAAGGCTTTAATGTTGCTAATTGTACGGATACGTGGATACAAACAGCCAAGCTGCTGCCCGGGAGCTTACTGAACGGCAGCTCATCTGCGGAGCCAGGGTCGCTGCTGCATTCACTCCTCGCTTGTGTCTGTTGTGAAGTGAAGCACATTTGTTTCAAGACCCTTTTTAGCTGCACAAGCTGATGTGTTTTGCTCTGTTTGAAGTGGGCTGGTAGCACACAACCCATCGGTGCCTCTGGTCGGCTGACAAGTACAGTGCTGCAGGTTGCAGTGTGGTGACTACTTAGGGGTGTCCGTCTGTACCCCAAGGTGTATGTCAGGCATCAGAAGGTGGAAGAACCCCACCAAGTTGACATGTGAAATTTTCCTCTTACACTGATGGAGTAGCTGAGCCAAAGACATTTGTTGTCACCTGTCAGACCAAAACAAATTCATAAATGTCATGAGATTTTGCATCTGTCTGTCTGTCTGCCCCATGCAGCTATGGTGAAGGGGATCTGTTGTTGTTGGGATGAAGGGAGGGGGTCTAGGATACGAACATACATGAAACCAGGCGCTGTCAGTCCTTCTGTTCATTGGGCACCTTACTGCCCTGTGTGTTTTGGATTGTTGATTCTCTTTGGTTTTGTTACAACGTGCCCGTACAGGCTCATGGATGCAGTTAGAGATCAGTAAGCAGTAGCAGAGAGAACCCAGGGCGGTGTGAGCACGTAGGCACATCCAGTCCATGTTGTAGTTGGCTTATTAACACTGTGACTTTTAACAGCTCGTACGCTGAGTCTGTGTTTAGTTCTGCTGGTTTGTCCCCATCTTGACTGGTACTTGCCTGCTGTAGCCCCAGACTTCCAAAGGAGGTTTCAACAGTGCTTGCTGCTCTGCGTCTTCATTGCTGTGAGGTCTTATGGAGGCTGTGCTGGAGAGCAGAGCTGCCTGAATAGGAAATAACAGATCAGGATATGCACCAAGCCATACAGTGTGGAGCACACGGGGGTCACTGTGAAGCAGTGGCTGTCTGTGTGCCTTAGAGGTTTGCCAGAGCGTGTGGGATGAGTGTAACTGCATGGGGGTGTCTGCGTGAGCTGCGTTGTCTGGAGTGCTTGCCTTTTACCTCCAAGTTTCTAAAGCGGCCTGTTTTCTTCTTCCTACAGACAATTTTAGGTACACGTGTGACATATGTGGGAAAAAATATAAATATTATAGCTGCTTCCAAGAGCACAGAGACCTACATGCCGTGGATGGTGAGTACTGTTTTGACACTCAGACACCCAAACTAGAATGAGAAGTCATTGGGGAAGGCAAAATGTGGTTCTGCAGGACACTGTGGTGTACAGGACACTGCGCAGCATGGCTTGCTCGCCATGTCAGTGGAGGCACGGTCCACAGGCGCTGCAGGAGGAAGTTTGCTTCGCTCCCTTATCTCTGCGTGCATCAAAATAGCACCCTCTGCTGGGACCTGTGGTCCTTGCAGTCCTCTCGTCCATATTAAGGTTCCAGGTTAGGATGGATATGCTAGAACTGAGTGCCTCAAGGTAAATTGTCAGCCTGGCTGCTCGCTGGGCAAGAGTTGGTTGCCTTTTGGTTTCTGACTTCGCAGAATGGTTCCCAGCTTGCTCCTCTGTGAGGAACCACATTTCAGAGTTGAGAAATACTGTTTCGTTCTCGTTAATCACTGTGGTAGTGAACTGATGCATTGTCGGTGGACCCGTGGACCTTACAGGCCAATTTTTCCTCTGTGAATGTAGAAGTGGCCTAGGCTGGTGACACTCAAGACAGAAGCAGACACCCTTCTCCAGAAGCAGTGTTTCTTTTTTCTGCATTTGGGGAAATAAGAGCAACAACATACTGTCTTTAGCTTGCCCCTTGCTTACTGGGCATTTAAAGCTCCTCTGCTCAGAGCCCACAGGTACTCCGAACCCTCACTGCATATGCTACAAGGCTGTTGGTGTTGCTCCTCACCTGGCCAAGGAAGGAGGCTGCTTGAAAAGCAGAATGTTTTGAATGGCAGGACTGTCTCAGAAAAGCACATGGTTTTCACAATATGTGGTGTCCAAAAAAATTGCTGTTTTTAACTGGAACGTGTGGACATCTGAACGTATAAGAATGGCCAGCGTTCTCTTGCAGGGCACCACTGCAAGCTCACTTCCTCCCATGGGGAGCCAAAATTAAATTACCAGGACTGAAAGTCACTGTGAGATGGAGGCATCTGCTTCTGTCAGAAATGTGTCTTCGTAGCTACGGTTCAGGGAGCTCTGCCTACGGTCATGAGAGGGCTTTGGAAATGGCTTCCACTTGTGCCTTGCAAGGACACTGCTTGTCTCAGTTCCTCCAAGGGGCTGGTTGTGTCTTAGTAAACACAAGCATGAGGCAGCTGTGCATCGGAACTTCACGTGGGGCTGTGTCAGCGTCAGAGCAAAGGCCTTGAGAATCTGTGTGTATTAGGGCTGGGCATGCTCAAATAGTTCCTGTGTGGACACTGCTGGGAAGAGGAGGGACTGGGGCACAAAGCCTGGTTTATTCTGTGGGGCTGAAATATGCTGAGAAGCAGTATGTGAAATACAGGAGGAAATACAGGCCATTTAAGAGGATTTAATTTCTGTTTTGTTTCTTCCCCTCCTTCTTCTATTCTATGTTAGTTTTTAGTGTGGAAGGGGCCCCAGAAAACCGGGCAGGTAAGCCGAGATCCTTCTTTCACAAACCTTTTCAAACATTCAGTAATTCAAGCACAGCAGGTCCAATTCTACACTTGTAAGAGTCAAGGGAGTTTTGTCACTGATTGCAGCAGGAGAGGAGCATCCTCTCTCCCTCCCTCAACACGTACAGCCAGTAGGTTGATGCCCAGCCCTAGTAGATACCAGGCTTTTGTTGTACATACAATTGATCAGGCTTTTGAAAATCAAAGCAGCAGGTGTTTCTTGTTTCTGGTGATTTATTGAATTGTTCAAGGCATAAATTAAATTATTTTATAAAACGGGTTGGGTTCTGATCTGTTGCTAGCTGTGCTGTTAGGTGGTAGAAAGTCACTGTTCAGTATTTGTTAGCTGACTTGCTTGCAGACCGCAGTACCATGCCCACGTTGAGACAGTATAACATCATTAGATAGGCGATGCACTGGAAGAAAGTCAGAAAATATGAATCAGGCTTTGCACCGTGTTTGTTCAGTCTCTCTCTGTATTTTTTTAACATTATATACCTACAAGGTGTGTTACTGGGCTGGAAGGGGGCGGGGGTAATATCTGCCTGGGGCACCTGAGGAGGAGGAGGGATGAGTCAGACAGAGGGGTCATTTGGTTTGTAATTCCTGTCTTGAAATCTTGTTACAGATCAAAATGTCATTACAGATGCACGAGCATGCAGTGCCCATGCAGCTGTAGAAGGAAAACCTGAGGGTGTTGTCAGCTCTCTTGCTGGTTCTGTTTTCTTGCAGACCCCTATGACCAGGCCGTCATAGCAGCAGATGAAGTGAAGGAGGAGGAGCCAGAGCCATTCCAGAAGATTGGTCCAAGTATGAGTTACTATACAGCTTCAGAAGTGAAAGAGACAGTACAAGGGTTTCAAATCTGGCATTAGCTGGAGTACCTCTAGGAAAACCAGAAAACACTGTGTTATGCAGAGGTGGTGGAACCTTAAGGGTGCTGAAAGATGTGCTTATGTTCAAATGAACGCCAAACACCAGCAGCCCTGGCCCTCAGAAATGCAGCTTTGTGATGTTTTCTGCTCAAGAGATCTGCAAAGAGAAGAGGGAAGAGGTTCAGGAGAAAAGCAAGCTGGGAGTGATTAGAGAGGGTCTTAAGGTGCATTGGCAGAGCTGGCGGGTGATTGCATTCACACTGCCTTTGTGGTGGGCTCATCAAACAGATCAGAGTGAAACAAAGAGGAACAGACTTCGCCGAAGCATTTCTCGGAATTCTGTTTTGCAAGCCACTGATTAACCCTGGATTTTCCTTTGGCTCACAGCTTGCTGTCAGTTCTGTACTTATAAGCACTGGCAGGAGCAGGAGGTGTCAGGGTATGGTTACACTACTTCATTATTTCAAGTACCCCCAAAGCACGAATTAGCTCAGTTATTGCAGAAAAGTCCATCCCTGCAAGAGAAATCTACAGTTCCAATTTAAAAGTTCTCTTACTAAGACTTAAACTTGACAACTTGTTTCCTTGTCTGAGTGTTCCTGTTGTCCATGCATCACAGACTGTCTGTAACCAGAAGATACAACAGTGTCACCTGTAATACAGGCTTTAGGAACGGATTCTCTCCATTGTTTTGCACGCTTATTTGCTGTAATTTTGGGATAATCTCCTGTAGCTTGTTCAGTTCTACTGGACTTTTTATCATCGCTCTAGACATAGGCTTTAAGTGTTTCCTTTGCTGGGGAAAAGAATGTGTGAATTGCAGGACAGATAAGTTCCAAGTGTGGGGGGGGAATATGCTCCAGTTTTTGTCACCTGGCCAGTTTCTATGTAATACAAAGTCAGGAAGTTGGTGATTGTGTGAGAGGGTGCTGCTCTCCTTTCTGATCTTTGTATTTGTTTCATCTTCACAGAAACTGGCAATTACACCTGTGAATTCTGTGGCAAGCAGTACAAATACTACACTCCCTACCAAGAACATGTGGCGCTGCATGCACCTATTAGTGAGTATTCTGCTGGAGATCTATTTCATTATAGACTGTGATTTACAGTGGTTGGTGGTGAACAGGAGGGTTGCAGGAGAGAGTTTCATTCTTGGGAATCCTTCCACTGGACCTGTGGGATTGCAGCTGGCAGGACGTAGCTGATGTGCCGAAGGGGCACTGCAAAGCTGAGCTGGAATCTCTTCTCAGAGGGACTGTTACTGTTAGGTCTGTAATGTCACTGAACTTTTACCAAAGTCCATGCAATTCTACATATGTTCCTTGGGGATTTGATATTTTATTTTGTGGTTTAACTGAAGTGATGCATAAAATTTTTAGACTCCCCTAAATAATAAGTGAATGTACATGCTAGAGAAGAAGCATCTTTCTTATGAGCTTCTGAGAAATTATTTCAGACAGTGAGTTAAAACTGGTTTTCAAAATCATGTAAATACCTTGGCAGCTTGCTACTAAATCACAGGCAATAAAATATTTATTTCAGGGAGCTCGGGAAAAGGCAGTTCTCAGCATACTACACGACACTACGATCTGCACTCTGGAGGGACACTACGATCTGCACTCCCCAGACAAAGGGGAGGTTTTAATGAGCAATTCAGAGTAATTCAGTGCAAAAATTTTAGTAAAACAGTTGAGAGAAATTGCTACATGCTGGTTTTGGATGCTTTAAAAGTATGCAGAGAAGTTCTTTACACCTGAACTTCGTGCTTCTTTCATAGCATTGCTTTATTGCGGTTTTAATGCTGTGAGCGAGCATGGTTGCTCTTTGCCCATGCCTGCCCAGCTGCCAGCATTTTGGCTGATGAGGAGGATGGCTGAGCTGAGCTCATTAGCTTTGTGGGTTTCTTCAGCTGCTGATCCGCAGCCAGCAGAGGGAGCACACACTCCTTCCTCCCCAAATTCAGCTTTAGTTAGGTTTTTAAGTTGTTACAATAAGGCAGCTTTCGGTTTAGACATATATAGAAATAAATTGGCAGCATAGGCCACCAGACTATCACTTTTAAGGTGGATTAATTCTTGGTGGCTCCCATGCAGGTGCTCTGGAGCAGGGAGGTGGACCAAGATCATGGTGGCAGTGTAGTGCATAAAACACCTCTACCACCATCATCACAAAGTTACTCTTATTATCTCCCATCTGCCCAAGGGAACTAACCCAGCGCTTATGATTGCACACATAACAGTTATTCCTAAACATCCCTGCACCCCCAAACTCCACCTCTTAATTCAGGTGTTTTCAGGTCCTCATAAAAGCCAGTGGTGGTGATCAGCAGTAAGTCAATCTCCTAGCATAGATGGGCCCTGAGACACCAAGGCTTTGGCATCTCTTGTCCACCCCTGCACAGATAGCTAAGGAGCAGCATGCTGCAAGGTCTCTGCATTGAATTTCTCTCAGCAAGAACAGGTTCTGACCTTCTCAGTACTTTCCGTGTCAAGGGGATTTATCACTATGGGTATCTCTCCACCCTCCCAACCATCTGTAGTAATAGGTTGCAGCAACTGGTTCCAGTCCAGGCTATCCAGCATAACAGAGAGACACAACGGTTCTTCTCTGCAAGGTATTTGGCTGCCGTGGGCCCTGCAGGTCTGACTGCAGATACCAATGGTCCATACAGATACTGCCCTTCATCCTGTGCAGAGCGCAGCTGCAGGGTCCTGATGCCCACTTTTTGACTACCAGAAGCCAGTTTTGAAGGAAGAGGAACATTCTTTCGAATGCTGGGGTTGAAGCCATTCTTGCACCATGGTTCCTGCAGTAACCTTTGTGAAAGCAGAAGCTGCCCCTGCTGCAGACTAGACCAGCAGTCACTGAGATGGGCAGATAGGTTTCCAGTCCTTTCAGCAGGTAACTATGAGGACACTCAAGGTCAGATCAGGATAATATTTTCATAAGGTTTAACCCTCTCCCCATAAACTTTTCTTTCTTCTTTTTTTTTTTAACCTTTTTTTTCCCTCTCCTAGTTCCTATGACCAGTAAGATTTATGATACACAGTGACAAACCACTGACCCTGATGAGCATACAGGAGAGGGCATGATTTGCTCCCAAGGCAGGCTGGCCAGTACATCCTCCCACCTTTCTACTGCTCAGACTCTGCTATTCCTATAAACCAAGGTCCTGCAAGGCAGCTGTAAACACATGACTTCTGAAAAGCACAACTGGCTTTTCTCGGGCCCTAGCAGTCAGAAGAAGTAAAGCTGAAACCATGTCTTTACCCTGGTCTTGTTCTTGTGGTTATAAGGCAAATGCTGAAAAAATAGCCGTAGTGGGAGCGGGTAAAGAGAACACTTCAGCATTACCAATCCAGCTTTCTGGGTCTCTCTACTTGAATGCAAGCTTCCCTTCCGGAGCCTGTCTTTCTGGTTTTCTGTGATAATGGAAAAACAATTATTGAAAATGGGCTAAACCAAGGACTCATATCCTGCAGGGTCAATAGGACCTTGCAGAATAATTTTTGGTCAGTGCTGCTGGATACCTGCTGTCTGGAAAAGAGCTCTGCTGCGGGGTTCCCTGGAATTGTTAATGCCAAATATCTGCTTTGAAAGTTGCCTTTTGTTAGTGAGGAGTAGGGGCTTTTTCATATGCTTGGAACTGGGCTATTACTCTTTTAAAATACATTTTCTTATGCTGTTGCTGTCAGCCTATTGACTCTTTCTAAGAAGGGTGTCAGAGGCTGTTTCCAAAAAAAGTAGACTGTAGGCACATTCGTTGTCCCAGTTTTAGAAATGTCTCTGAAAGTAGGTGCACAGGGGGAGGGTTCAGAGATTTCTTTCTGTCCTCCTCCAGGCTCTGTCTGCTCTGTAAGATGGAACTGATTTAACCACATTTGCAGGTGGCTGGGCTATTGTGATTGCTCTTAGATGATGTGTTTACAGTGCAGAGAAAACCTAGTGCATTTGGGATGTGGACTGGCTAGAAAAGCCACCAAGAGTGGGTTTCAGCTTGGTCCAGGCTCAGGAGTGTGCACTCACCGCATCCTCTTCTGATAACTGTAAATAACGCAACAGACTCCCTGTTCATGGAAGTATGTCGTGAGAGCACTAAAATCTGGACAGCTATCCATGTCCATTGCTTCCAGGATGAAAATCTAAAGCGGTGTCAGGGCCCTGAGTGCACTAACAGGTTCTAATGGCCCTGACCAGCCTCATGTGGGCCTCTACCCACATTCAAACCCCATATTTCAGCTCAGCTTTGGATCATCAATCCCTGCCTGAGCTACACTATAGGATGTTGGTCTCCAGCTCAGCTGTAGACATGTCCATGCCTGGCTGTGGATCCCATTGATCTGTACCCCACGCTGTAGACTGACTTCCCAACTTGATGTCAACCCTGTCTCATCACTCTGGACCTCGCTGTGGATCGCAGATATGTGTCTGGCCCTGGTTACCCCCACCAGAGCTGATCCTGCCCTGACTTGTGGATTGACTTCCCAGCTTGACCACAGACCTGTCCCATGGCCATGAGCTTCCTGATGATCTGGACTCTTGGTTGAACCTGGCTGTCATCTCTGGTCCTGTCTTGCTCACCTCTCTCAGGCTCTGTGGGATGGGCCCTGGCTGTTGAAGACCCTGTCCTGCCAGCCCCGTGATTGTACTTGGCTCTGCAGGGGACAGACAGACCTACATCCACCCTGACACCTAAGATGCTCAAGGAAGTTCATCAAGCCTCTCTGCTCAATTACTTCTCTTAACATGAAGGACACTGGATACAATTTGTTCATCAAAAGTGCTTAAACACAGTGTTTCTTAAAGGCAGCTGCCATCATGGCTTTTTCTCTTAGGATAAAGGATCCTTTTTGGTAGTACATCTAGCTTCCACACAGGTCCTTACCTAACCAAGAAGAAAACAGATCCAGATTCCAGTTGGACGGTGTGTCTTTGCCTCCTCCATCTTAGTGAGTGAAATCTGTGAGTTCAGATGTTTCTCCCACTCCCTGATCCCACAGTGCCTTAGCAACAGGCTCCACTGGCAATATTTGTTTCTGTGTATAAAGCAGCACGTTAAGAATTTGATAGGTTTGAGCACAGGGTTTTTCCTGTGGAAAGGCCCATTTCCAATACCAGAGGTTTCTGTTCAGCATATTGAATTTCAGGCCGTTGTTAAGGAATCGCTTTCCATCATATTCATTAAAGACAGGTTTTTCTCCAGAGGTGATGGTGTAATTCCATCTGAACCACCTGAATGGTTCCTTGCCCATCCTGACAGTATCTTTCTGAAAAAATGTGATACAAAAATTATTAGCCAGAAGTTTTACTGGAAAAAGCGAAGTTACTGGGCTAATCTGATCTCTGTTCTAGTGTGGTGGAGCATCGCGGTAGCGTGTGGATTTATGTGTCTTTGGAGGACACACGTTGAAATGTCTGCCAGGTTTTCTACTTTCTGCCGCAACTTGCCATTCACAGGGCTTGAAGGTCTTACCAAAGGCAGGAGAGCCAGGAGGGACCACTGTGATCTCTGGAGTGACTGGAGTAATGCATGCTACAGGACTGCCTTGATTTCACTGCTCACAAATATGTTTTAGAGAGACATCTAATCTTGCTGTTAAGAGTGACAGAAAATACAGCAACCTCTTAAGGTAATTATTTTGATGAATTACCCTCACTAAATTAAGACTAAAAATATACAGCTGTAGCTTTCAGTCATTGGATCCTATTTATAACTTTGTCTGCTAGGTGAAGGAGGACCAAGTTACCAAATTTCTGTCCTTTCTAGACCTTTGTATAGCCTGCTGTCAAGTCACTTCCTAGTGACCAACTTCCCAGTTAAGCCGACTTGATGTTTCCATTATAAGATAATGCTGTTCTTGTCCTTTATTTATCCTCTTGCCTTCTCTGAATATTCTCAAGTCTGTTAACCACCTTCGTGAAGGTCATGCACCAGCACTGGGTCTAGTGAAGGAACTGAGAGCTAATATTGTCTTCCAGACCCCTTTGAAAGTGCCATGACTGCATACCCAGAGGGTATCTCAGTCTTTTTAGAGTCATAGAATTGTTTAGGTTGGAGAAGCCCTTTAAGATCACCAAGCCCAACTGTTACCCTAACCCTGCCATCCCACCACTAAACCCTGGCCCTAAGCACCTCGTCTGCCCGGCTTTTAAATACCCCCTGGGATGGGGACTCAACCACAATGGCTACAACCACAATTTAGCTACATCACTGCCCTGAGAGCTCCTCTAAGCCTCATGACTGAACACAGCAATGAACAAGCTCTTTTTCCTGCTGCCAACGCGGAGTCCCCCATCTTTTAAGTATCCCCCGTATCATCTGTATTCTTTAGCCCACCATTCTGTGCGGCTGTAGCACGGTGCACTCAGTTTACCAAGTGGCTGGAATCATTTGGTGAAACTTATCCTCTACATTACTCCTCTCCTGCCCTCACTTCTCCAGGATGTCAGCTTCAACTGGGGCGTATCTCAGATGCTTTCTGAGAAAGTTAAAAAACTTCATCTCAGCAGTTGCTATCTCCAGTCTTGCTGTCTGGCTGCACATTTTGAGGCAGGAGGTTTTTGTAACCATCCAGAAACTCAGTATTTTCATTTTTGGAAATATCTGGAACTTGGCCTTTTCTTCAGCCTGAGGCAGTGAGTTCCACAGTGAAGACAACTTTTGAAGAGCAGAACAGAGGAGCTACGCCATCATCTCTACCTGTGTTGCTCAGTCTTCAGAGGGGATTTGTCATCTGATGAACTACAAACTTAAAACTTTTTTTTCAATGAATTGTTAGCATCCTCCAGACTGCTAGAACTAATATTCTTTTGTCTCGCTTGCCTTGCTGGCTCAAACTCTGACTCTGCCTAGTGTCAGGTGGAGCAGCCTTCTCTCTGGGGTCTGAATTTGAAAACATACTATTTATTTAAGTAAATTGGGAGGAAAAGAAGTAATTTTGCAGGTCTTCCTAGCATTGAGACTTTTTTCTTCAGATCACAGCAGTATCTGGACTGCAGAGGATGCTCATTGTTTCTGACTGCTACTTCTCTTGGTATAGATGGGGAATAAAGCAGCAATTGGTGGGAATGTGCCTCGTGGGAAACTAGATGGCCGTTAAGCAGGGAATTGTCATATTTGACTACATTTTTGCTAGCAGTTTGGCTGCAGTTGGAGGAAGATTATCCATGGAGATTGAAATTAAGTCTAGGAAGCAAAAGCAAGCCACTTGCCTATTCAGCTGGCCAGAGACCAAGCAGAGGAGAAGTATCTTGACCTAAACTATGAGAAAACCTCGTGCAGAATCTCCTACAGAAGTACACTAACACTTGCAGGAGATGTCATCTTGGATCTGTGTAACTGATCAAGGGAAACAAAAACCTGTTTCCTTTGAGTATCTTTTTGCAAGCTGCTTTGCATGTGCACATCCTCACTCTCCAGTGCTGCTGACAGGGAAGATGAGAGCGTTTCACATGCGAGGTCTGTAATGTCTTGTGGGATTTCAGAAATGAGCATCCAGTCCCTGTCTGGGTGACTTTTCTCCTCACCGGTTTCAGAGGCTGTTGTGCTGCCATGGCAGCCCATGAAGGAGAACTGCTCAATGCGGATAAGTATTTCTGAATTATACTGTATAGGATGATCAGGTGCTAGCGTTGTCCATCCGACTTTAGGCATCCTAAAATACCACTTGGGCTGTGGGTTATATGAACCTTGTTTCTTGGCGATTCTTCGTGGCAGATGGTTGGAGTGGGACTTGGCTTCAGGAGCCACATCCAAATTTCCATGGAAAAAGACACTGGAAAATGAAGGAGGTTGTTAGATTGTTTCTCCATCTTTGTTACTGTTTTTTTTAATCCATGGGGCCTAGACAAAGGGTTGTCCTCCTGAAGGTTTTTCATATGACTTTTGGCATTGAAAATTCCTGGTGATCCTCGCTGTGCATTGCAGAGACCAAAATGTAGATACATTCAAAGAGCATATCCCAGTAATACTCAGAAGTTGTCCACATGTTGCCAGTACTTGTCTGGAGATGGGGGCTAAAAGGCCTTTCCTGACTTGCAGAATGAGAACTCTGCCTCCTAATTCCCTTCCATTACCAGGAGCCCCCTTTCCTTTGTATTTGGTTAGGGAGACAAGGAATGTAGCTGCAGATCTCTATGATTTATGCAAGGCTCAAGTAACAAAGATGTAAACTTCTCCCTATTCAGAGCTCTGAGTATCACATTAGAAACCTGCTCTCAAAATTCAAACTCTTACATATAGAGAAATGGAGGACAGAGATGCAGGTACACCCAGCCAGGCCATGGCAATCAAACAGTATTCCTGGATGGAGGGGGTGATTCTGGCTGGAGGAGGAATGGGTTGGTCACATGGCAGTTAAAGGTGTGGAAGGGAACTAACAAGCTTCAAGAATCTGTCCCCTCGGGTGAGTGGGGAAAACAGTTTTGTTACATGGGATCGGTGGATCCACCATTGCTGCAGATCCCTATGCAAGGGATTCGTGAGCATGGCTGTTAGAAAGCAACCCTCCCAGAAGGCACATGGTCTGGGAGCTGACTGACTGTCCAGGCACTAGTTCTGAGTGTTCACATCCAGAGTTCTCTCGATCTCCACTCTTCGTGGCAGTGAAGACACAGGCGAGCCAATCCAGCAAAAAAACACCGGCTTCAATAAACCGATGTTCTACCCTCCTGCATCGCACCCCCTCCGGTGTCCCACCGGCATCCCAATCCCAGATGTTCCGCGCTCCAAATTCTGGATCCCCAGGAAGCAAGGCCATCACAGGTACCAATTGCCTTTCTACCATCAACTTTCTTAACTGCTTAGTGTCCAATCCTGCCCTGGGTTGGCTTTTGATCCTTCCTGGACTCAGTCTGCTCCATCCATGACTGTCCCAGAAAAGCTACTCCCGGAAGCAGTTGAGGGGATTAGATCCTTTGGCACATTATACATAAAAATTTAGATCAGCAGTAGGTCTTTATTACCTCTTCCCAGTGGCAAGTTGGGGTTTTTTAAGCATCGTGCTAACCATGAGGTACAAAAGACCCTGTTTCAAATCCTGGTGTCACAAACTGAGGAGAGCTTCCTGACAAGGGCTGGCATAGTGGCTTGTCAGGTAGGGGGATTTTTGTTTGGTTTTCAGCTTTCTTTTGGCATTTAGTGTTTGTTTTCCTCAAGGCAATGTTTTCAGGGCTAGGCCTGTGCCTGAGGAAGTGAAATGGAGTAGAGGCATTTTCACAGTGCTCCACTCCTTGCAGGAGCCACTGAGAGATAAGCTGGGCTCCAGCAGCAAAATTAGTGGTACAGAACCATTACAGAGGTGTTAGAACTGACTCAAGTTAAGGCTGATCCTCCCACAGTCCCCATTTCCTCCTTCCAAATAAGATCAAACCTTAAAAAAAAAAAAAGGAAGGATAAAAAAAAAAGAAATCAAAGATCTCTGAAAAATAACTGTTAATAAATAGGATGTGAGACATAGCGTTCACATGTCCAGGCAGCAGGAAAGCAGTCTCTTAAATCTGTGGGATTAATAGACACATATTCCATCTTGGTACAGAAGGGCTGGTTAATCAGCTGGTGTTTAAACGCCCGTGAAATGTCTGGCTTGGACAGATGCCGAGTAGCAGAGGTGGGTGTGCTGGGAGAGACCACAGGATGCTGAACAAGGATGCTTTTTGTTAGATGACACACACATCCGCAGCTACCAGATGTTGCAGTGAGCGACCTTTCTTCTTACAGCTTGTGAGTCCTGGGATTCCATATTGTTATTGCACCTCTTAGACAGTTATATGATTTTATTACTAATTTGAGGTCCATCCAGTTCAACCAAATTAGGGGTTAAAGCTGAGAAACCTTTTTCATTATTTACTTAAACTTGAAACAACTTCTTCCAGTTTCATGTTTCTTACAAAAGTGGAAAAACTGGGAGCCTTCTGGATCAGAAGCCAGATTCATCTGAGCAGTAACTGGGAGATGTTTTTGGTAAAGGCGCTTTCCCCCCACAAACACTTCTCTAATCAAAAGTATATCAGTACCTTGGGTAAAAACGTGGAGCTGTTCTCTTCCTGTATGGAGGAAGGAACCACCTGATGCTTGAGCCTGGTAGATTGATCTTCAAGAACCTAATATTAGCCTGGGGGTCCTACCTTATCTATCTGGTGGTGTCATTTCTGTGGTGTCTTTCAAGGCAGTGTCATGTCCAAATGCAATCTGAGCAGCTTCTTGAATTTCTGGTACAACTGCATTGACCATAACACCTATCAGGAAGACAGTCTCCAGAAGGGATGCCTTCCGAGTGTTGCCGTTAGAGATGTTCCCCATGGGCCTGGATAATACCAGAGGCGGTGGAGCACCACTCCACTGACAGTGTTTGCACAGACGCTGAGTAGAGTGGCACCTACTTTCTCCATACAGATAATTTTGCTTTGCATGCAAAATGTTCAGGTACGAGGAGAGAGGGAGAGAAAAGACTTGTGTCAGCTGCCCTCTCCTGGGTGGGAAGAACACAGGGCATTAAACCAGTTTTTTTTCTTATTGCCAGACTTGGCCCAAAAAAAAAAAAAAAAGGGTAGGGGATGAGGACAAAACTACCATACAAATTTTTTCCAAACATTTTTGGAGACCTCCAACTCACTTCCACTTGTGACATAAGCCAGGATTTGAACCTGGGTCTGTTGGGGGGGTAGGCTGGCCTAACGCATTTTGTCGTGGTCTCTCTTTCCCACTGTGCCGTCTGATGTTCTAGTTACTTAAAGCCTCTCATTCCCATTATATCTTATCAAGGGGGATGGACTAGATAATGTCTCCAGTTCCTTTTCAGCCCTGTTTTATGTGATTCTGTTTTAACTGATTTGATTACCTAGTTTTCCTGTTCTCCTGCATTTTAGAAAGAGTCAGGAATGTGGTAGATGAGAATTTGGGAAGGCTGCTCAGGACCTGGAAGGGTTCACTGAGGACTGGCTGGACCAAAATTCATGGGCTGTGAGGTGCATGCAGTTCAGGCCTTTCCTATTCACATCAGACACAAAGCCCATGTGTCTGAGTCACACTTCAGCACTGGGAGGCTGTGGGGCTGCAGGGAGCTGGGGCCTCTTTATGGAAGTCAGGGCAGCAGTTCTGACCACTCCAGTGCTCTGCAGAAATATGTAATGAAATAATGACCTGATAGCAATTTTCAATAGTCCTTGTCACTCCTGAATGAAAGACTTATTTCCCCCAACACCCTCCCCATACAATTTGCATGCTGCTGAGCCCAGCAGAGCCTTGCTAAGCCATGTTCAGGTGAACCCACTGAGTGACAGTGGACCCCATGAATGAGTCCACATATGGTAAGGGTCTGTACAGCATAGGCCATACATATTTGGCCATTTCACCTTTCATTTTATTTATTTCTAGTTTATCCTTTGAGTCACTACAGTAAGTACGTTTGCCCAGATACTGCAAACCTAGCTGGAGCAAGATGAGACCTTGCACTATTTGTACCATTGAACCCATGCTGAGGGACACACCAGCTTCAGAAGGCTGTGTTGCACAGTGATGTTTCAGGATACTGCAGCTACTGCCAGGGTCAGGAACCACCTCTGCACACCGGAGGAGTCCTCCCATTACAGTTGCTGGGAAATTGCCCTGCACTGTTGCCAAAGCGTGCAAAGCAACTGAGCTGCCAGGAGCACGGGCTGGCAGCACGGCGCGGAGGAGAAGGGCCTGCCCGCTTGGCTTTAGGGAGGAGTAGGGTAGCGAGTTCACCACTGGAAAGCACAAAGGATCTACCGCAGCTTTTCTGAAGACCGTGGACAGGCTCTGAGATAGCCCCTCAGTCCTCCACTTGAACCTTTCAGGGAGAGTATTTAGGAAGGGAATGCAGATTACTGGGAAGCACAGGGAGAGCTGGCACAGTTCTTCTGTAGGTGACATTCTGCATGTTGTGGTGAGGACCCGAGTTCAGTCTGCAGGCCTGATCACCTGTGCCAGAGGCTTCAGGAGCTGCTTATTGTCTTAAGGAAAAGGAAGGTAAAGGTTGGGGTTCTTTTGCAGGGGAGGAAGCCATGATCCTTCTGGTTCAGTTGGGACTGGTGTTCATGGGCTCCCTAAGAGCCAGTCCAGGCCACCTCAGCCAGAAGGCATTCAAGAAAAATATCTACCTGTTATCCCTTCAGTGAATCTGGCCCATTTGTCTCCAAAAGGAGGTAATGAGGTATTTGACCTTTCTGCTGTACTCAGGGCATGCTGTTACGTGGTGCAGGAGCTGTCTTGCCTCCTGTCTGTGTGGTTCTGTGTCCAGTACTGACCAGTCACCATCCCTGCTTTGTTCTCCACCCAGCAGAAAGTGCTTTCAGCAGG